TCTGTGTGTGTTTGCCACAAACTTGAATTTATTTATTCATGAATATATTTATATCTTGTCGGGCACCATTTTTTAAAATGTGTTTCGTTTTAATCAAAACCTAACACTATGCTCCCAAAATTGTACTCTGTAACCATGGGTAAAGATCAGAAGGTTTTTCTCCAGCTGAACTCAAGTTTCTTGAGCGTAAGGTATCTGTTCTGATTCTGAAGTGTATTCCAAGAGTCAGGCACAGAACAGAATTTCCTTAAGCAGATTCATCCTGAGTCCTAAGTGGAGTGTACCTCCTTTTCGGAGACATGTTTGCACTTGGCAAAATCCCAGGATGCTGTGTTCATTTGTAAGAGGAAAATGTCTTGCACGTGTCCTCACATTTCCACGGCCAGTCCACGTGCTCCTGGTGTGTACTTGGACGCACACAGGCTGTCAGGGTCAGCATGTTTGCAAAGCCTGGAGTCTGAATGACCAGTAGATGCTGTCTTAGTCCGTCATCCGTGTGGCCTTTTCAGTTCCTTGACTTGTGGCCAGTGCTTGGATGGGCATTCCCAACATACGCCTCCCAGACTCCTCTTTACAGAGCGTGCAAGGCCAGCCACTCATTTTCTATCGGAACATGTGGTAGTCAAGTGCTGCTGACCTTGAGCCCATTTTACTTTCCTTCAGTTAGATGCTGTGACCTGACCCTCATCCTCTTCAGAAGGCCTGCGATTCCACACTGTCAGGATCACCCGTTGGAAGCCTACCCCTGGTCAAAACCGACTCTTGGCTTGCCGGCTTGGCTGTGGCCCTGTCTTCTTCGTCCCCACTTTGTTTGCAGGAGCCATCCAGTCCCGCATCTGTAAAAACGTTGGCTGGCAGCGCTGACATTTCTCTCTAGCCCTGCCCTCGTGATCCCTAAATCTGCATCCAGCTGCCTACTTTTGATTCAGGTCAGAAGACTTAAGGATCACAGATGTGTCCAGAAGTCATGTGACTTTGTTTTCACCAAGCCTTCCCTTTTAATGAAAACCAAAGCCATTTGTTGTGTCCAGAAATGTAGTCCTGCTCTGTTGCTTACTGTCCCTACCACCCCACGTTCAATCATTCAGACGCCCAGAGGTGCCCAGCTCTCTGCCACCACCTCAAGATCTGTGCCACGAGTGTTTCATGCTTGGCCATCTTCCTGATCTCCAGGAACTTCAGCCCATTTTCACTGAGTGTTCTACTCCTGGGACTTGTGGCTGTCCAGCTCACTCCCTGTGGTGGTCCACACCTGCTAATCCTTTGACTTCACTGGGACCTAAAAGCCACTCCAAACAGGCTACCACCTCTCTAACCACGCCAAAGCAGGCCCCTCCCCCGTGGTCACCTCCTCCTACCCGCTTTGGCAGCCACACCTCCCTGACCTGGGAGATAGGCGTGCTGCTGCACGCTGAGGGCCTCTCCCCCGCTCTCCGTCTCCCCAGCGCATCTGCGGTCTCCTCGCCTGGATTCCTCTCTGCGTATACCTCATACTGAGGTCCAGCACGTGCTCCTTGTCCCTGAGACCTTCACCCACCCACCTGCTTCTCCCACATGATAACTCGTAGTATTGGTACATCTTGTGCAAATGCATCACCTTGCACCTTGATTATCTTGGCAGCCACCTCCTGGGCCTTTCTAGTCCCTTCATACCATTGACAACACAGCAGCGAAGTATCTGTCTTAAAATCTAAGTCAGACACATCAGGTCTGCTTGGGCTGCCCAAGGACCTAGCCTCCAGGGTGAGATTCAAGTGCTGACCTTGGCCGACGTCCCCTCTCCTCAGACCTCATCAGCATCCCCAGCTCACCAGCCTCCCCGGGCTTCTCTAACACGCCGCGGGCTGTGGACGTGCTGCCTGGGCTCTTCCTTCCAGTACAAATGCGCTGTGTGTGTGTGTGTGTGTGTGTGTGTCCTATTTTTTCATGGTAGCGCTATTGAAGCGATTTTAATGTCAAGAGGTGTGTGTGTCCTACTTTTTCATGGTAGCGCTATTGAAGCGATTTTAATGTCAAGAGGTGTGTGTGTGTGTGTCATCTTTGGTGCTTTCCTTTTAAAGGTATCCTACTTTTTCATGGTAGTGCTATTGAGGTACGCCATCCAAGGGTCACTGTAAGCAGTTCCCCATCAAATCTCTGATTGCTGACTTCTCTGCATAGTTCTTGTAATCATTTCTAAAGAATAATGATCTAGAATTCCAGTTTCTGGATCAAGAGTTACGGTTTGTAAGGTTTTTTATTTGTGTTATCAAATTGCCCGTGAGGAAGTTGTATTGACTGCACCCTACCTTTTGCCAGAGCCCTGCTGTGTGTGTGTGGAGCATGAACTCCTAAATGCATAACCTCTCACCACATATCCTAATGAGCAAGGTATAGCCTTGCAAATTTCTATCTAGAAATAAGGCTTGAAACCATTGAACTGTACGCTTAAAAATTATTCAGATGGTAAATTTTATGTTATATGTATTTTATTAGAGTTATTTTTGAAAGGAAATAACGATGTGATAAATAGGACATACCTCGTGTAAATGTAGGTAGTGTTAAATGGCAGGAGGAAAGATGTCTTTGACGCTATTACAGTATTATTGCTGTGGTCTTTACTCACTGTTGACTCTAAGAAGGTTTTTGTAATTTTATCATGCAGGCCAAAACACTAAGAAAATTGATCCAACAAACGTTTAGACAGTTTGCCAACCTTAATAGAGAAGAAAGTATTCTGAAATTCTTTGAGATCCTCTCTCCAGTATACAGATTTGATAAAGAATGCTTCAAATGTGCCCTTGGTGTAAGTATGGGGACATGGGAAATAGCGGACTAGGTTTAATATCTTTTGGGTTTTCTTACTCATGTACATCTAAATTTCTGATTAAAATCTATCTTGTCTCATGTTTAACAACATGAGAATGTAATTTTTTCATGTTACAGGGGGGAAATTGCAAGAAAAATGTATCAATGTGAATGTAAAATCATCTTTTTAAAAATAGCCTCTGTGCATAATTAGATTTTTTTATTCTGGCCCAGTAAGTCACTTGACTAATTGTTCTTCAGGGCTAGTTTGCCTAGGCATATAACCTTCCCAAAGGAAGTGTTAGCTTTGAACCTGCTGGAATCAGCACCGTGTGTCAGTCTAGGCTCAGCAGACTCTGGATCAGTGAAGTCACAAATATTTTATATTATTTAGTTAGATAGATTAATAACAAGCTAAGCCAGTCCCCCTTTGGTTCTTTAATTAAATTGCCTGTGGCTCTTTGTCTAAAATATTTCCTTTTCCTTCTGGTACCTTTGTGTTTCACCTTCAAAAGTCAAGCTGGATCATCTCTGTGGAGCTGGCAATCGGCCCAGAAGAAGGGATCAGTTACCTCACAGACAAGGGCTGCAATGTAAGTCTGCTTCGGCGGCGTCTCGGAGCTGCCTGTTCGCCGACACACCTCACGGTGGACTTGGCTGTAGACGGAGGAGTCAAGTTAAGGAAATGGCACCCTTTTGGAAAAGACATCGTTGTGCAATTAAATCTTTCCATTTCATAGTGTTTGTTGCTCAAGGAGGAGAGAGGAAAAGAAAGTCTAGGCCACTGTTGAAATTCTTAAGAATCCTTTAGTTTTGGAAGCCACTGAATCACACAGATACGTGTTCATGCGATTTGAATGGATTGTTACGGATTACCTGGAAAAATTTGAAATACTGATTTTTTCATTCAGTTGTATATTTGATTTAAAGATGTTTGTACTTGGATCATATACTTTCAAACAGCCTGTTCTGGCCATTTCCAGGAGAAAATGCTCACGCTTTCATAATGCTGCTCAAATCCCTCCTGCCCCCACTTACACTGCCTAGAAAAGCATCTGTTGGAAGAGAGCCCACCACTTGCCCCCCAGCCACCTCAGAGCTGCCCTCCTGGGTTTTCTGCCCTTCTTGCTTCCTGTGTGCTCTCTCGAGGAGGCCAGGTGCTGCCCAGGGCCTAGAGATGCACCAGTACAGACTGGCAGAGGTCCTGACCTCCTGAGTTTGTACCAGGGGCCCAGGATCAGGTGTTGGGGGCACCTGGGTGGCTCCAGTGCTGGTGCCAGAGCTGTGGCAGGTGGGGCCGATGAACGCGATTCCCAGCGGCCTCACTCCACAGGCCCTCTTTGTTACTCAGCTTACCCAGAGGTGCACCCATACACGTGATTTCCCATAAACACATGAACGTGGCCAAACCGTGTGGTAGAATACCTGCTTTTCCCAGGTGCACTCTGTTCCCATTTGTGTCTGTCTGGCTCCTGCCTCCCCTGTTTGCTCCCTGGCACCTTTCCCTGGGCCCTCCCAGCACTCCTTCCTTCCCCTGTGCTCTCAGGGAAATGACAGTAATTATTCTTCTGTGTTTTGTTATTCAAAAATTGGATCATCTTGGGGCATCCTGAGCCCCATCTTGTTTCTCACTCAGCAGAACCTGGTCAGAGTCCCTTCAGGTCTGACCGGGTGGGAGCTCGCGGAGGGCTCTGACTTCCCTTACAGATGTCTGCTCCACGGAGGGGATGTGACAAACACCCTTTTATGTATATATTTCTCTGTACCTACTGCTTTTCCTCCTTATGGAAGAGATTGCCAGGTACAGAACTGTGGGATCCCTTCAAATAGGTTTAACGTTAAAAGCTGCTGCAAGACGGCTTCTCGGGCAGGCTAAGAAACTTCTTGTCCCCACTGGCAGTGTGTGACCCTGCTGCTTCCACTCACTTGCTAGCAGCCGTTTTAAAAGCTCTTTTAATCTTTCCCTAGGTGTAAAGTGACATTTTCTTGTTACTTTTTGCTCAAGTTGATGCAGAGTGAACATCTAATAAACTTACACATCTTTTCCTGTTCTGGCCATTTTGATTCCTACTTCTCTGGGTTGACTGTTTATATTGTATCCTTTGCCTGCTTTACTAATGTGATTGTCTTTTTGGCGGGAGACTCAATAAGGACACTTGTTATCTCATGGAACGTGAAGTCGGGTGCTAGACATGTTGCAGGGTGAGTCGTCTGCATTCGGTCACCTCCCCACGGTGGAAGTTCCCTCTTTGCCGTTCTCAGCAAGTCGCCCAGGCCTGTTTTGCCTTGTCATCCTCAGGACTCCAGAATAGCTGAGAGACTCAGGTGTCATTTCAAACATTGATGTCCTGGGGTAGCAAAGGGTGTGTGTGTGTGAAAGGATTTTTTTTCAAAGTTCCTTAGGTATACATATGTTTACATATTTTATTTAAAGACTTATTTTTTTTAGAGTAGTTTTAGGTTCACAGTGAAATTGAGAGGAAGGCACTGAGATTTGCCCAAATGCCCTCAGACACAGTTGTCTTTTTCTTTTCAATTTGTAAGTCTCTTTACACATCGAAGAAATCAGTGTGTTTTTGTTCATCTGCGTTACAAATTTTTATAAATCTCTCATTGGCTATTTTGACTTTAAATAGATTGATCTGTGTCCTCTTATGCCCTTTCCAGTCACTAGTCCCATACCCCAAGGGTGACTGCTATCCTGATTTCTAGTGTCATTAATTTTTCAGTAAATGCTGTTGAGTCAGGTGGCTATTCACATAGGAAGACAATGAACTTTGACCCCTGTCAGATATCACAGTAAAAATCCATTCCAGATAAAGTATTAATCTACAGGTGAAAGGTAAAACAATAAAAGTTTTAGAAGAAAACAAGAGACTCCAGGCCAAGCAGACATTCCTTAAACAGGACATAATATGGGCTAACTCTAAAAAAATTTTGGTAAATTTCTACATTGAAATTAAGAACAACTTTTCTTCAAAAGGTAGAAAGGCAAGCCATATATTGGCAGTAAATGCATGGGATAATAGACTCTTAATCCAGGATAAAAAGTGGCAGTGCGTCGTCACGGAAAGGTCAGACAGCCCAGTAGAGAATATATAGATAATAAGTGAAAAGGTGTTTGGCCTCAGTCATGGACAGGTGCTCTGTGTGATGCTCTTACACATCTGCCAGTGTGGCTGAAACGAAGAGGCAGGGAATGCCTGGCATTGGCAGGGGTGTGGAACAGCAGGAACCTCCATGCCCTGCTGGTAAGCGTATAATAGGTACAGCCTCTTAGGGACTTTTGTCATAGCCATTAGGTTAGATTTGCCTTCTCTTATATATTCTTGTCAGATTTTCTCTGTCTTTTACAGTTAAGTCTTAAGCCCATCTCAAATTGTGCTTTAGGGTATAAGATGGGAACCCACGTAGAGTCCTTGGGGGAGAAGATTAAAGGCAGGGCCTGTGCTGCGGTCAGGAGGCCAGGCTCTGGGGTGCAGGCTAGGTTTCCGTCTTGAGCCACTTTGCACTAGCACTGACTTTGGGTCCATTCCTCCGCAGCCAGCTTGTGTTTCCTTGTCAGTAAAACGGCAGCTATAATTGCAGCTACCCACTGGGGTTGGTAAGAACCAAATGCACCAGCAAATTTGAAGCATTCCAGTCATGGCCTAGGATACCAGAAAGGAAGCTCTTAGAAAATGTTGGCTGTCGTCCTTGTTACTTTGTGGCTGTTCGTGTCTGTATCCAGGTGAGCAGCCGACCATGTCAGCACCATTTACTAAGCCAGCCAGTGTCTTACCTGTGAATTGCTCTGCTGCCTTTGTCAGCACTCGTGGACCCTCCGCTTGGCTCCTTCAGTCCAGTTGTCCCTGAGCGGGGCTTTGTGGACCGCGTTGCTGTAGCTCGGTGCTACGTCGCAGTGTCATGTTTCTTCGTATCGCCTTCTTTTGTATACTCCCCTGGCTGTTTCTGGTTATTTAGTCTTTCAGAACCAGATTTATAAAGTTCTGTTGGGACTCCACTTGAATGCTAATTTTGTGTTATTTTGTGAAGGTGTATATTTTTAGATATTAAGTTAATCTATTCAAGAATATGGTATGTCTCTATTTGTTCAGTACTTCTTATATGTCCTTACAAGATTTCATAGTCTTTTTCATATAGATCTTTGATACTAAATTAATTTACCAGTATTTTGCAGTTTGGGGCCTTACTATAAATGGACTTTTTTTTTGCCATTTCCAATTTAAAATTCATACTGTGAGCTTAGCAGAACATATTTGATTGTTGTTTATCATATATTCAACAACCTTACCGTTCATTTAATAAATCGTTTTTTATTAGAATCTTAGATTTTATGGGTATATAATCATGTAATCTGATAAAAAAGAATTGTTTTAACTTTTTCCTCTAATCTACAGTTTTTTCCTTTTCTCATATTCCTGGTTACCTCAAAGACCATGCTTAATAATGGGTTGTAAAGGCTATCCCTGTCTTGTTTGAGATCTTAATTTATCACTTGAAAGTATGTCATCATTTAGGATTATTGTTGTGTTTTAGTAAATTGTCTTTAATGTGTTGAAATTATACCTTTCTGTGCTTAGAATTTTTATTAGGAGTGGCTGCTAACTTTAATCCAGGGTTTTTTCAGCTTTTATGGATAAGATCATGGTTTTTTCCTCCCTGAACTTGTTATTTTCTTGTATTGATAGATGTGCTGATACTGAGCCATTAAATAACTCCCACTTGCTTATTCTATATTACTATTTTGATAGAGTGAGTTATCATATTTGCTAATATGTAGAATTTTTGCATCCGCTTATGAGTTTAACCTAGTCATCTCTTTTTTATATTAGCTTTGTAAGGATATGATATTTAAAATTATGCCAATTTCATCAGGTAAATTAGGGGGCTTTTCATGATGTTGTGACCTGAAGTATTTTAAGTTGATTTGAAATTCCATATTCTTTAAAGTCTGGTAGAATTGATCTATATAACCACATGGTGTCTTTTTCAGTGATAGACTTTTACACCCTTTCTGTCTGTAGATAGCAGTAATAGATTTGTTCAGGTTTCCCTCTTCTTGTGTCAGTTTCAGTGATTGATGTTTGGTTGGCGTATCATCAGCCTCTCTGCACTTTCAAGCTGTCCTCATAGGCTGCATCTCACAATCCTCTTACAATCTTTCCCGTGACTTTGTTTCTGTGTCCTGTCTCCTTCCCAGACTGGTCTGTTTGGGTTGCTTCTTTCCAGATTTGCAAAGAGTTTATCTGTTTAGGTGACTTTGAAGGACAAGCCTAGAGACTAGGGTTATAGCATGTCTATTCGTTTTCATCAATTTCAGCATTTACCTTCATAGATTCCCTTTCCCTAATGTCTTTTGTTCATTTGTATATTTTCTCCTGGACTTAGCCTTTGATGACTTCTTTAAAATTGCTTCCTATATACTTTGGAGGTGATTTTCTTGTATGACTTGTAATGTGTTCTGGCAGTTTAGGCAGGTGGTATTCTTTTTGTTGTATTTCTATATTGTTGACATTTCATTTTTGTTTCTACCTTTCATTTTTACATTATTTAGGAGAAAGTTAATTTTCAGGCAGCTCTGGAAGGTTTGAATCTCACTTTTATTATTTCTAATGTTATTGGATTATGAGCAGATAATATAGTTTTTTAAACATTAATTATTTTGAATTTATTAGTCATCTTTATAGCCAAGCACATGGTTGATTTTTGTAACTGTTGCCTGGAAAGAAATGTGTGTATTCTATTTGAGATGGCAAGCCCCGCCCCTCTATACCTCTGCAGTAAGAGCTGCTAGTTGTGTAAAGGAGAAGGAGACGAGGATGGGAGCCATCAGGACAGAGCCGCCAGAGCCGCCAGAGCACTGCCCGCCCCACCCACCCTGCTCCTTGTCTTCCCCCTCCTGGGGAGACAACCCCTCTCTTCTGTACACCTCCACCCACCTCACCTGCTGTCTTTCCTGTGTCAGTAAATGCTTCTCACTGACTCAGGCATTCCTGTCAGCATACTAAAATACATGATTTCTCGGATCCTAAAAATGTAATCTTTCAGCACTACATCCTTCTCCCTCCCGGGTACTTCATGTTTCCTCCTCCTTCTATTACAGACCTTGACACGTGGCTGCTGTGCCCCTGGTGCTACCTGGCTGGTCCAAACCGCAATGATCCAGGTGCCCCGTCTGTGGTTCTTCCATTGTCCCTTCGACCTGCTCCCCTCAGGCTTTCCCTGCCTTCACCATCACACCCCCGCCACCCACCTACATGGCTTTGGTAGGGAGCGGCAGGGGTGCCCGGGCAGCTAAACCCATGGGCTGCTTCTGAGCGCTTACCTACTGACTTGACTTCTGAGTCACCTGTTCACCAGCACTGTCTGGTGGAAATAGTAAGGACACAGCCCTCGTGTGATTTTAAATGTTGTGGTGACCGCATTTAAAGAGGCAAAAAGATGGGTGAAATTTGTTTTAATAATGTCTTAGCCCAGTAGGTCTAGAGTACCATCATTTCAAGGTTAATCCACATGAAGATTATTGAGGTATCTGACACTAAGTCTTTGAAATGGGCGTGTATTCTACATCACCTGCGCATCACAGTTGGGACCCGCTGTGGCCCACCAGGCGCCAACAGCCACCACGTCGGGCAGTGCAACCGTACCAACTCCTCCTCAGGCACCTGCCCTCTCCTCTGTCTGGACAACAGCCACAGGTGTGCCTTGTGGGAGTGTTGCATACCTGATCCACATGTGTGTGCAGCTGCTTTGTGCTGGGCCGGATTCAGTGGCCTGGCACAGTGAGGTCTGTACGGTCCTGACTTACCGAGCCCCATCTTACTCTCTTATTCCCAGTGAGACTTTCCCTGAAGCCCTTGCTGTTTCCTCCCTTGCCTGCTCCCCAAACAAGTAGCTGTGTTTTCATTTGGGGCCCTCACTGTCTCTTCCTCCCCATACAAGTAGATGTGTTGTTATACAGGACCACCCGCCGCTCTGCTGTGGTCCTCCTCTCACTGTGATTGGATGCTTGCTCACGTGCTCGTTTGCATAGTCTGGGTCCATGCAGCCCTTGCTCACTGCTGTACCCCTGACTCACTCGGAGCCCAGCACCTACTAAGTTCTGAGCCCATCGTTCACTCCTTCTCGTGCCAGGCACCGCCCTACTTCAGTGGAATACACTTGTGGCAAGGTGCTCAGCCACCATCCATGGCACTTGTGGTTCTTCATTCTGGTTGTGAGGTCAAGTGTAAAGAAGGAGATTAGCAATAAGAATCATCTGATAGTGGGAAGAGCTACAGTGGGATAACGTGAGAGAGGGTCTGAGAGGTTTAGAGTGGGCATCAGGGTCGGCCTCTCCCAGCCCTTTCCGCCTTACATGGGTATGTTTATAATACACTTTTGCTGTCCTGAAATTAAGTTACGAGTGTATTGTGCACATTCAATTTCAAGAAATTTATTTCAGTGTCAACACACAACACACACCTTTGCAGACATTATGGAATAGCCAGATACTTACTAATGAGAGTCATACTTTGAGAGAGGGCGACCAGAAGCCCTGCCCTACACACAGCACAAGGAAATGACAAGGAAAGAAAGGGGTCTGGCCAACCTCGGGGGTAATGTCGGAATGAGGTGGAAAGACACTGGTTAAAAAAAGGAATGAAAGGTAATCTCCACAATTAAATTTCCTATTGTGCTTCAGAAAATAGAAAAATGTTTTAACTTACAAGATGACAGTGATAGGAATATTTAATGTAATTGTTTAGTGGAGCTGAGATAGCCCCTGTTTCAAGCGTCACAGCCAAGGTGACCTTACCTGGCTGCCTCCTATGTCCTGTCACAAGTGAGTGTTCAGCAGCTCCGCCTCCGGACAGGTGCTGCTCCCAGGGAGGCTGTTCTCCAACACAGTGAGCGACCGTTAGGAAAATCCCAGACAGCAAAGTGCGGTATTCTCTGAGCCACACAGGTTCGCTCCTGGAAAAGTCAGTGCAGAGCACACTTCGTATTTCAGAGTAGACATGGGTTCTAGAAGCGCAGTTCTCACCAGTGCGAATACACCTGGCGCATTTGAAAGCCACTCGACACCTCATTGGGAGGGCATTTCCTGCACATTGTGACCGCTTGCACCCTGGTCCTCGTTCACGTCCCTCATTCTCTGGCCAACCACACCGCCCGCCATGGAGGGGCCCTGCCCAGAGAGACAAGAACCCCTCCCGTCCGGACGGTGCTGGGAAATGCATCAGGGGCAGGCAGAGATCGGGGCATTTGATTCGTTTTTTGTAGGCCCCTCCCCTTTGTAAGCACGGAGCTGATAGGACCTGATTTACGTTTTATAGTTCCTCCTCAGCTCCCTGGGAGGGGTGGGCCATTGTAGGGGCACAAACATGGATGAAGGGAAGTGGATTGGGAAATGATGGCAGGATTGACTATAAGCACCGTACATTACGAGGCTGGGACAAGAATAGGAGCTGTGAAGACAGAAGGAAAACACCCGAATTCCAGGTGTTTGGAGCTAGGCTGGATTTGTGCTGAGGAAGCAAGGAGTTGGAGTGACGCCTTCATTTTTTGGCCCATGACCCAGGCTGAATGGTAAAGTGTCCTCCTGAAGCAAAGAAGACTGGAGGAGGAGGGGCTTATTCTTAGGGAGGACCCTGGGTCTGTGCGGGGCTCTCAGTCCCCCCAGGGCCCGTGTGGGGGTGTCATGTAGGGGGTTGGCTACATGAGTCCAAGCTTAGGCTGGAGATAGTACTCGTGCCACAGTACTTGATGCACTTTCTGGGCTGTGCATGGCTAGGGGGAAGGTGGGGACCCAGCGCAGAACCCTGAGGCACTTGAACTTTATAGACTGAGTTGGGGGAAGCCAGTAAGAGGAACTGTGACAGGCAGTTAGCGAGGTAGGGAGAAACCCCATAAGGGCAGGTACCCCAAAAGCCAAGAAAGGAGAACAGGCTTCAGGGCTGTGCTTTGTGTGCCCAAAGGCCAAGGACAGGGAGAAGGGAACTGGGCAGTGGGCAGCCCGCGTGGAAGCAGGACTCAGAAAATGCACCGGTGCCTGAGGACAAAGCTGGAAAGATGGTCTGCTGTGAGGGAAACTGAGTGTGGGCTGCTTTCTGGACCATAATTCTGGCTCACTCTCCATGGCGTGATCTGTGCTCAGTGGGTAGGGAGGGGCTAACACCTCATGATGTGTAAGAGAAAGAGGCCTTAGCCAGGTAGCTGTTTTGAATAAATGTATAGGAATCTTTACATGCAAAGTGATCAGCCATGAAGTGATAGGATAAAAGACAGGTAGATGGGCAGGGGGCATATTTTGTCTTCATGAGGAGAGAAAAGAGTTCATTCTACTTGGGAACATGAGCAATGTCTCTTGGCAGCACTCTCTATGGGGAGGGTTCTTGGGGTACTACTGACTCCCTAGCTCCATTACACTCTAGAGCTCCATAAGTTTCAGAGACTTCTAGCTCAGGACACACTGGAAGTAAGTGCAGGCCCCGCTCTGTGGGAAGGGAAGCGAATGTTCATTTCAAGCAAGTCTTCGCCTGGTTTTCCCAGGCCAGCAAGTAACTCAGTTTGGGGGCTCCCTTATGCTCCTTTCTGCTCCCTTCTTCTCTCTCTGTAGTACCTGTAACCCACTCGCCCAGCTCCTGCGAACCGAGTGCCCCTTGTCGGCCATCAGGAGCCCAGAGAGCAGGCATATTCCTAACCTTGAAATGAGCAGTTCCAGACTCCTCCAAAGGAGAAAGTCCCACGGGGCCCCAGGGACATCCAGTCTTAGAGGGAAGATGTCTTTAGAAGGGGTGGGCGGGACCACGAGAATCCCACAGGATTGCTGATGTGAGTCTTCATAAGTCATTATGAACAAATGACATGCTAATAATGACGTGAGTCCAAAGTTTTTGTCTTTCTTTCCAAAGCCCACACATCTGGCCGACTTCAATCAAGTGCAGACCATTCAATATTCAAACAGTGAAGACAAAGACAGAAAAGGGATGCTACAGCTAAAAATAGCGGGGGCACCCGAGGTAAGGCAAGCTCACATTCATCATCGGGGAAACTAGATGGAGTGGCATCATGAAGGTGGTGGTCTTTTTAGGATAAGGATAAAGTTTCCATGCTTCATTAGAATCACAGCTTTCTCTTACTTAGTAAGTGTTGCATTACAAATGATAATGATTAAATGCCCCTAAGAACAGAACAGGAAACAAGAGCATTATCATGAAGGTAGTTAATTACTGTGAATTACCAAGGAAATGAACTTCTTAGAATTTTATAAAAATGTAAATATATTCCATAAACTGTTATTTCCCAGACTATTGTAAGTGACATTTCCAAGGTGGTGGGAATCACAGCTGTTAGCACCGCGGCGGCGGCTGATGCTTCTGCTGCTGTGACACCCACCGTCCCGACACATCGCACAGAAGCCTAGAGCAGGATGTGTCAATTCTTAGAACCCAGGGAAAGAGGCACTTTGAGATCCTTTCGTTATCCCTGTTCTTAGTGGGAGAAACTGTACACGAGAGGCTGACCAAAGTCCTAGTAAGGGTGGACATGGGGTTCGTCCAGACAGCTGGACCGTCGTCACATGCAGCAGAGTGTCTCAGGCACAGGGCGTGGTATGTGGAATGACCGCATGGCAAACACTACCTAAGACCACCCTCCTGAAAGGCGGACAAAGCTAATCCCCTCCTAAGGGATCCGAACGGCCTGGCAGCGCCCCCTTGCCCTGTGCACCCTGCGTGTCTGTGGGAGCGTGTCTGCCCCACTCAGCACCCAGGGCTCTCAGGCACGCAGTGGCCCCTCCAGGGTGAGCTAAGTGCAGCCTGACCCACTCCTTGTTCTTTTCTGCTTTGGGGTCAGTGACATTTCTGAGTCTCTAGGAAGGACATTTCATTCTCAGAATTAAACAAATGATACCTAAAAATACAGAAACCTATTGCAAGTTAAAATTTCCTGCAAATATCCTAGAGGTGTTTTTGGCACCATCATTTCCGACTGTCCTCTTTTGTGCTTTCTGCCCAAGTAGTATTTAGCTTCGTGCAGGTAAGCTGCTCATTGCGGAGATTATGAATTAGCAGGTGTGTGTATTTGAAAGTACAACACAGCTCTGATTATCTCCTAGATTACATTTAACAATAAGTCTTTAAGAAGGTTATCAAAATGGCATGTTTTATATTGAAAAGACTAATTTCTGAGCCCTTGGGCAGAATGCGCTTGAAATTTTATTTTTATTTAATATTAGAAAACTTTTGATGGACAGTGGATAAAAGTTGATCCACATTATTAGTCTAGTCTTTAAAATATGCCACTCTCGAACTTAGTGCTTTCCTGAACCCCCCTCTACACCGGAGTGCTCCAGAGGGCCAGACACTCTGAAAGAAAACATTTTTTCATCTTATGTTCTAGAAAGGGAATCTCAGGCTAAGTGGCTTTTCAGTTTTCATCTGGGTTTGCCTTCTGTCACATTCTAGGAATACCTTCCTCAAATACCAGACTTCCTTTTTCACTCAGACCCTCTGACGAATCTTGCTTCACTCCCACTCGTCTGTTGCCAAGTGTGTCCAGAGACCTGATGTCACAGCACAGCTGCCCCTTTGATTATTGGGAAGAACAATGACGGCTCTTTCTGGTCTTTCCCCTTTTAGCCTCTGACGGTGACAGCGCCGTCCCTGACCATTGCCGAGAACATGGCTGACTTGATAGATGGATACTGCCGGCTGGTGAATGGAGCCACACAGTCTTTCATCATCCGACCCCAGAAAGGTGAGGCTCTCTTTCTGTTTGAGCGGTCCCACTGAACTGTGCGGCAGGCTCACTCCCTAAAGCCTGTACTTCTCTAGGATAACTGCACACACACAGACCAAAGGAGTAATTCAGCCCAGTAAACTGTATTCTGGTTTCTCCAGGGAAGCGATGCAACTCACAGCCTAGGATCTGGGTTTGAATAGAGCTTAAAGAAAACATCGTTTTTGTTTAGACTATTGTGTTTTGAGCAACATACATAGAGTATTTTCTACGTTACCGTTAGTATTTTCAAATAAACTTTTGCATACGTATTTTTTTTTAAGTGTCCCTTATAACTCATGTTAAAGTCTCTTTCCTGTTTTTTTCCGATAGTTCTCAAAAGCTCAGAACAATCAGGGAGCACAGTTAGTTCTAGGTCATGATGTAAGGCTAACGAGCAGGAAGAATAACTGCTCTAGGAACAGGCTGTGCATGGGGTGTGTGGGGGGCTTTGCAAGGCAGTAGGAGGCCGTGTTCCAGGAATTTGGGTTTCTGGGATAGTCAAGTGAGAATACTCCCAGCAGGACTAGCATGGACAAGAGGGAAAAACTGGGCTTTGAGCTGTGTAACTTGGGAGTTCAAATCATGGGTCCTCTGTGCTGCCGTCTATAAATCACTCACCCTTTCTGTGCCTCAATTCTCGCATCTCTGAAACACGAGAGAGGTGCCTGCCTTCTGTGATGTGTGGGAACGTGAATGGCCTTGTACATGGAAAGGGCCTGGCACATGAAGTTCATGAACTTTAGCAATGGTGGTATTCCCATTGCTACAGCTCATACGATGTGATCCCAACACTGTGAACCCTGACTTTGAGATTCCGCCTCTGTAAGGAGGAATGCTGCCTGCCTTACCGTGTGCTAGATGGGCCCACAGCAGTGCCCCAGACCAGCCGGCTCTGTGCCAGATAGGCACAGGCCCTCTCCTCGTCTCCCCCTGTGCCAGGGATGGGCGCAGAGGCAAGAGCCCCGAGGGCCGAGAGGCGCGTGTCCAGGTGAGTCACTGAATGTCGTGCAGAGGATGCAGACAAGCCTGAGGACAGCAGGCGAGTGCCGAGCGCCTTGTGGATGCAGCAGGTAGCCCACCGCTCAGCAGGCATGGGCTCTGCTGACAGGGCAGCTTGAGGGAGAGGCAGGTGGGGTGTGTCTAGCAGAGGAACCATCAGAACCTTTGCTTACAAGTTAGTGTCATACTGTGCTCTGAAAACAAGAGCTGACGCCGTAAGCCAGAAGGCGAGTACGTAAGTGTATAGAGCCCGGGACATGGCTAATTTAGCAATGGTTTCTCACTGTGATCAGACCAATAAAGCCTGCTCATTTGTTTTTTTTCTGAAATAGTGTATATCTATCAGAGCTGTCTTATATGAAATAGAGCAGTGAAGTTGCTTTTTGAAATGTCTGAAGGCTCTCACAGTAAAGATTTTTGCAACCACAAGCTCTTGATTTTTCATTTTGTGCTTTAAATATATACCTTGCAAATACTTTTTAAATGTCTTGGGAGAATTACTTCACATAGAGTAGTATTTTGTGGAAAATGTTAAATGTGACATACTGCCTGTCTCTTTTTTGGTAAATGGTTTCTTTTATTTCATCCTAATTTACCAAAATGTTTTTAATCATCTTGTTGGTATGCATAAAAAAACCCAGCATTCAGATGTGAGGCAGTAAACGAGCTATTCCATGTTTAAAGCTGCAGAATCTCACTGCATTGGTTTTTAATTGGCTCTTTTTTTTCCGGTAGGTATAAACATTTGATACCAAATCTCGTAATGAGAAGCATTAATTAAGTTCTTCACTCAGATGGAAAGAGCATAAATGAAAATGCTTCTCATAAAAACTGAGTAGGGTATTAAACGTTTTTATGTCATTCTTACTGAATGAATTACTAAGTTTGATAATTTACTTATTCTAAATCATAGCATATTTATTTATTATATGACTCTTCTATAGTGATACCTAAAGTGAAGATACATTGCCTTACTGAAATATTTTAAGTCAAACATTTGTAATGGATTATAGTCAGAGATATAAGTGGACAAGAGCACATGTGAATTTTTGTAATTAAGATTTTTTTCTTAATTTCAAATAAATGAAAAATAGTGTTTCTACAAACCTGATGTACCAATTTCCTGGTAATGTGCTTTAAATAACAATTATATATGTACCTATCTGTTTTCTCTAGATTATAAACTGATTCATTGTATGTAACATATACATGTTTACATATGTAACAGATCATAGCAGTTTAAGTGACCTGTAAGTGCGTGTGAGTGCTGACTACACTAAGATGCATTTTGTTTGTTCTGTGATCTCCCATGATTACCGTGCATTTATAAAGTGCTTTTAAATATGGTATTTATTGGGGCAGAAAATGCAATGAGAGCCACAAGCTGAATGTCATGAGCCAAATCCCAGGTGTCCTCGGTCCTTACTATAGGGCATTATCAATCCTACCCCTTACCCTCACAAAGCTCAGTAGCCATTCGTCAATTATAATAAAATTCTCAGAAGAAAGAATTATGCAAATTAATGTCATAATTTCAATGTTTCTGAAGTAGATTTTCTATATGTAGGATGAGAGTAAATACATCCTGCCGGGGGTTGCATGCCTCTGAGCATGACACAAAAACCAGAAGATACGGGACAGAATGGATAAGAGTTCATTACATAAATATAGAAACATTTCTGTTAGAAAAAGAAACATGTAAAGCTGTGACACAGAAAGGAAAGCCCTTGTAACACATAAAGAATTGAAACCTCTTAATTTTCTAGTGTTCTTCCAACTCACTGGGACAACCGAGTGTAAAAGTGACACCTCATAGAAGAGTGTTTGTACACATGTCCAGTGAGCATATGGATGCAGTGACAGTCAGCTTGTGTGCTTATTAGATGGGAAAACGACTGCTAATATCCATTCTTGGCAGGACTACTGGAAAATGGACCCTCCTTCTTGGATATGGCACTTACAGAGGCATTTGTGGCAGTAGTTCCCTGCGCAGTGGGCCACTTCTTAAAAACCTGCCCTGACGAGCTGCTGACAGGGGGTCCCCATGGCACACAACTGAAAGTAACCTGCGTGCCCACAAGATGGGAATCGGTAAATGGGGTGCACACATGATCAATACAGTGTGGGGTGGCTGCCGACAGTGATGAGGTAGCACTCTTTTTGTGTTTAAACACCTGCATGCACATATGGAAATACAGCCAAACCTGTGCATGCATTCATAAGCATAACAGAAGTGAGGGAGTCTGGGAAGGTAAGTGCCCACTCCGGATGGTTAGCCTAAGAAAGCTGGAATTGTATTTGAAGTGAACAGGAGGCCTTCACCTTTTGTACTTCTTTTCTGCATTGTGTATCTTTATGATTTACAGTTTGTTACAATCTGTTGTAATTGTTTAATTAAAAAAATAGATTAAAACTTTTCAGAAATTAAAAGTCGCAATTCTAAAAATAAAAATACAGGTTACTACAAAGACATATCCTTATTCCTTAAAGATTTATTCAGAGAAATAAGATGCAAGTTATGTGAGTGACATGAGAACTCATTCAACTTAAAAATTTAAAGGTGTGTTAAAAATTAACTTCTGGCATTGGGCATTTTAGTTGGTGAGTACTTAGTTTTTATAATGCTGCTGATAATAGTGTCTGTGGCTATTTTCTCAGTATTCTATTACTTTCTTGCTTCCTAAAAATTTACTCTCAATATCCTTCATTTGCAGCCTTCTCTACTCCTGCCCACCTACTTAGGAAGTCTATATTAACCAAATAGTTAATAACGGCTTTCTTTTTCTCTCCAAGGAGGGAGAAATTTCAACAGAAAGTACAAACAAATCACAGATATGTCATTTAAAAGGCCATATTATTAAATGACGGCATTGGGTGTGGGTAAGGTGGTGGTGGTGGCATTCATGGGATAATGAACTACTGACAAAATTTTTCAGTTATTCTAAGTTTGGTCTTCATAGTGTAACTTGGTTATTCTGCTTGAAATTTGGGTGTCAAAACGTCAAAGAGTGAGGGAGTTTGGATAGAGCACTGCTGCACATCTGTGCTGGGCAGTGGCCACACACTGTGTGTCATCAAGCCTCCCAGCCACCCCTGCACATGGGGCAACGTGGTCTCTGTTCATAGGCAGGTAAACGGTGCTCAGAAGGAGTCATTCCTTGGGCCCCAAGGCTGATTCAGTTCCTCATTTATCAAGCAGTGGTTTGGGAGCCTCTGGAGTGCCAGGCACTCTGCTAATCAGACCCCAGGGGCTGGTTGCCTAGTCTTCAAGGATTCTGATCCATGACAAGCACTCTATTAATGCAGCAGAGGCACCACAGGGCCATCCTGAGCCTCTTGGGGTTTCTATGAAAGGCTCCTTTAAGGGGACTGTGCTTGGACTGAGTTTGGAAGTATTGAGCGATGATTCTTCCGCCAGAAGGTAGGGCATCTTTATCTTTGACTGGACGGAATGTGTGCAGGCGGCATGACGTGTTCAGGGAAATCCAATGTGACCACATAGGATCCGGGAATGGCAGAGGATGCGACTGGAGGGACCGTAACAAGGGTGGCTTCGGTGACCGGGTGAAGGGAAGTGAGGTGGAGTTCAAGGGCAGGTGGAGGTGCCTGGGAGGGTGCCAGGAGGGTGGCTGCTGGGCAGGCACCCACGACCTACACGTGGCCTTGGCCCACAGACACACCAAGGATGGAGGCGGAGCAGCGCTGTTCACCAGTAGAAACGAAGCTGCGCTTTGCGGGTGCAGGAGGCGCTTACATGTCCTAAAGGCTGTCAGTAGACACTACAGTTTAAGCAGGGGAATGACTTGGATTTGTATTTGAGGGAGATTATCCTTGATAGTAATTTAGCCCAGGAATGGATTAGGAGAGAGGATCAGTTGGTCTGTTAGATTAGTCCATATAAAAGAGATGGAATTAGGAGGGCTCCGTGCTTCCTGGTTCACAAAAGGAGGTATAGGGAGAGCAGGTCTCCTCCAGCCGACGAGCAGGGGCCCGATGCTCACTGCAGTGAGACCGGCAGGAGCTGGTCACTGCGCCCACAGCCCCGAGCCCAGCCCAGCCACTGGTGGGAGACACCCACCCCCAGTAAGAGGGCTTCCTGGCACCCTGTCCTCCCCGTCACACTCTACAGGCCTTTTGGGTCCTAGGCTCCTCTGTGCATCAGTCCCTCCACAGCCGTAAGGCCTGTGCATTTGTTTCCTTTGTGTTTCTGGGGTTCCTGCACAGTTTTTGGTGTTACTGCTAGTGGGCATTTTTATCAAAATGCCGAATCTTCAGTACTTTGGCAAGGAGTACTGACTTTGACAGTGAGACATCCTTCATCTTTAGCTGCTCCTGGGAGGGCGTCCTTCACCAGTTTATCAGCATAGTGCTTTGTTCTGATCATGCAGTACTTTTTAAACAATGTGCACCTACAGTCACTGGATGTTTGTTATAAATATTGAAAATAAGACCACAAAAGCCTAAGAGGGACCATGTAATAATTTCCTTAAAGGGTTATTGCTGCAGTGCTGGACTAGGGCCCATCCTCCCCTGATCGCTACAAGTAATCTTTTCAGAAGGAACAGGACACTCATCTCTCTCCTCCCTTTTTTCCCCAGAAGGAGAACGGGCTTTGCCATCAATACCAAAGTAAGTGCTGTTCTGTGCATGTTGTTAACTCTGTTGTTTTAGAAACTGTAAGAAGTAACTATGCTTTATTATCCATTTGCCTGAATAATCAAATCTGTACATCTGTGATTGGGGAACGAGAAAAGTATTTCCAGAAAGAAATCAAATCGACTGTAACTCATGTATTTAGGTTTAATCTAAAGTTTAAAGTTTATTTTCTCCTTTTAGTTCAGTAGGAGATTCAAGAAGAGGTACAAACATCCAGTTACAAAGTAAACTAGGCATGGGGATCAAAGTCCAGTCCAGGAATATGGTCAGTAATACTGTAATAGCTTCCTGTGTTGATAGATGGTAACTGCCCTTAGAGTGGTGAGCATTCAGTAGTGTGTATAACTCTCAAGTCACTATGTTGTGCACCTGAAACCAATATAATATGTATATCAACTTAAAAATAAAATCTGTATGTATTATTGGGAGGAAAATAGTCATAGTGATAACACTGAAGGCCTGCGGTTAAATAGCCACTTGATAGTCATTGCTGATCTTTGTAAAAACCTGAAAATAGGTAGCATTCTGGCTATTTTACATAGGAGAAAATTAAAAATAAGTAATTTATTTAGTTGTTTTACTTGTTTATATCATGAATTTCATAGTCGATGTACTGGCTTATAAAATTAAAAGAATAGTAGTGCCAAAATAATTTATTTCATAACTTCCTTCTTCTCGGCCAATGTGCTAGGAACTGGGGCCCAAATAACAGTTATAATTTAGACATGTGATACACAGTGATTGAACAGTCAGGGCTGTGTGCAGGGGTGCAGGGAGGGGTTTGAACAGAATCCTAGGGCACCAGCAGAGGAATACTTCTGGGAGGCCCCTGGGTAAAGGACGAAGAGGGCAAACCTGGGGAATCATCTTTGTTCTGTCACCGTCTCTCTTCTCCATAGCCAGTCCATCACTAAATTCCTTCAGATCCATCTACTTCTCCACCTTCCCACACCCCTTCCCCTGTTCTTAGCTGCTGTCATCACCTGTCTGGGCTACTCCAGTCATCTCCTTTGCCAGGGTCCCCAAGACCAGCCCTGTGCTCAGTGATTCTCTGGAAAGTACTCCCAGACTCGATGCACAGTCCCATTCCTGGCTCTGATGTATTACGTATTACAGAGGGCACAAAGTGAGCAGCGCTGGGAGGAGGCGTGTGGGTGAAGTCCAGAGGGGACCGGGGAAACTCCCAAGAGCCCTCTCCCAGTACACCCAGGGCGGACACACCTCGTTCCTCTAGCACTGAGCTGTGACGTGAAATCCTACCTGGGAAGCTCATTAGAGATGCAGGGCCCAGGGTTTCTCTGGGGGCCCTATCGTGTACAAACTGCCTGGCATGTGCCAAACGTTCAGGACTTCTAGAAGGAAAGCAGAAGTCCAGCATGAACCTCATGGTCTGTATAGTTTAGGCCCAGCAAACCACCTTTATTTAGGGGATGGTGGAGACCCCCTGAAACGCAGGTTCCCAAACAACCAGCCACAGGCCGGCCTCAAGGGAAGCAGTCTCAGGCCTGCTAGGGTGACTTTTTTTTTCCTGCACATCTCCTACCCGTCTCCATCTGTCTGGTTTGCCATCGTCCTCCCATTCTCTGTACCACCATGTGAGGGAACTTTCCTGATCCAAGATCTTGCATGACTTGCTCTGAGGATAAATGCCAGCATCCTCAGCCTACTGGCTGGGCCCACACAGTTGTCTCCTGCCAGCTCCCCTGGCCTCATTTGCCCACTCTTTACACGGGGCTCTTCAGCTCCACTGAACGTGTTTTCAGTCACTGGAATAAACTTTCTTGCGTCCCCTCCAGGCCTTTGCAAGTGCTCATCCCCCTCAGGACCTCCACCTCCCTTCATCCAGTTACCTTGTCCCCAGCAAAGCCCTGCTCACCTCTCTGGTCTCGCCCACACCATTTCCTCTAGAAACCTCCCACGATCCCCCAGTCTTAGAGGGCATCCCTGGGTGTTTTCCCATAATACCGTCTACTTCACCATAGTACTTCCGCCACTTTAAAATTGTACCTCTTTGCTTGTCTGTGACACCCCTGTAACCTTTATGGCAGGCTCATGTGGCGTCCACCTGACGCCAGGCAGTTCTGACACATAGTAGGTGCACAGGAGCTATGCAGGTGAATGGAGGGGTGGGTGTGACCAGCTTTCTCTTAGCTTTTAGGCAGTTTGTTTCACAAACCCAGCAATATTTAATGGATTCTTATGTCCCACATCAGGCCAGGGGACTCATGCTCAGAGTATCTTCAATTGTATAATGTTTTTAAGAGATGACTTTGAGGATTAAAACATATAGGAATCATAAACATAGATAGAAACATGAGTGAAGAAGGTAGCAGATTAGAAGTAGAAACAGATACTACAAACAATGAATAAATAAACTTTAGAAGAGCGAAATTTCCACAAATCATAGAGCAGCAAACACTTACTGCTGTTGATCAGAAGGTGGTAATATCCACACAGTTGTAAGAAAGTTGATTTGCAACAGCACACAAAACAGTGTAGTAAAGGGAGACCACAAGGTTTTGGCAACAGAACATGGAAGCAAATGACATAGCCTGTTGTGAGCGTGCAGCCTGTGGCTTCCTAGTAAACAGAGTCCAAAGTAATTGTGATAAGCTGTGTGGCTGCAATGGAAGAGAAACTGATCACTTGTTGGAAAACAACTTCAGTTAAGCTTAAAAGATACCGTAAGATTTCCAATAATTAGATAATTCAATAAAAAGAACTCAATTCTATGGCTTTATGCTATAAACATTAATTGCAGAGGTTATACAGTTGAATAGTTCTAGTTCTCAAAAATGTATATTACTTTAAGTTCCAGTATTTCCTAGTATAAATACTGTATGCAAGGAAAATTTTCCATTCAGTACTTCTATAGTAAATGTTTATGTATCTGGAGAAAGTTTTCCTTTACAAAAAGATCAAAGGAACTTTGACATCTAAGGACTATGGGGTTCCTTTTTCTGTGTTTTGCACTTTCAAAAAATTTTTAACTGAGCTATACTTGCATTTTGTCACTGAAACTCTTGGGCAGAACTTTATGTGGGTAAATACCTAAAACACTAATGTTGTTGAGCCATTTCATATAACAACCCTTTTTCAGTCTGTAAATAAAATAATAAATATTAAGGTGATACCTGCTTTTTTACATGCTCTAAATTTAAGAAGGAAGAATACTTCAAATTGAGTTTTGAGAGCAGATTTCAATTCCAGGTATTTTCTTCCATCTGTTTCATCCCTCACAGTCTAGTGTCTAAGTCACAGTCCTCCGTGTGCACACTGAGCCGTATCGCTGTCTCAGTCACTGTGGGGAGTCGCTCTCTCCAGCAGCCGAGTGCCCCTTTGGCTGTCTGTCTGAAGTTCTTGTCTTTAAGACAGTCGGAGTATTTTAAGTGCCTCAGGTGGTAGAAATGACTTTGCTAAGAGCTCCCCCTCTGAAATTCAGTCTCCGCAAGAAATGACGTAGTCCTGACACTGGGCAGCTCTGTGTTTGAGCGCATCGTGCCCGTCTGGTCCCGAAGGGCATGTGTTCACGCTTTGCCATTCTTTTTATTACAGGCTCACCAACAGCGAAAAGCAAGGCGTGAGGACGCACGCAGTCTCCATGTCAGGTAAGAGGCCCAATGGTGAAAGCCCTGCAGGGCAGGCTGCCAGACAGAAGCGTTTGTGGTATTGTGGAAGGGGGGCCATGTACGTCAGATGTCTGCTCAGTGTGGTTACAATTGCTCGTTCTAGAATAGCTTGAAAAAATTATAGTCTGCATACCCAAAGGTGCATAATTGTACCATCATTGAATAGGTTCAAATATGGCTCATAGATTGGTATAGATGAGACTATAATACCAAGTTACTCACAAGATTATGTAGAATTCCAAGTTATTTTTCAGTTTTAATGTCATGTTAATCATATTTGGAGTGAATATTTTCACTGTTGAAGTTGCCGTTATAACTTATCTTTGCAGTTCAACAGAATTTAATGGAATATACTCTGTATATTTATTGCCTTTAGAGTCCAAGAAATGTGAAACATTTTTAAACAGTTTTTGTCTTTCACAATTAACATTAAAATGGTGTCTGAATATTGCTTTTTAAAAACTATAGTTAAGATACTGGCAAAAGATACAGCTTACGCCAGTACCCTAACTAGTGCTGGTGTCACGTGTTGTACTTCCCTTGGTATGTTTTCAAAATACGTGTTACCTTTTTCACCATTTAAAATTGTGGAAAATAGAGGAACAGGGGAAAAAGGAAAAGATTCTTGTACGGACCCAAGTTTGGTGTCTTAAAATACATTCACTGTATATACATATATATGTGTGTCTGCATATATGTATACACGCATATGTAATCTATTCTTAGATATGTTACATTCCCAAAATATCAGCTTCCTAATAACTCTAGCAGGTAACAGTCTTAGAAGAAACCTAATTCCTGTTAGTTTTAATATATCTTGAGTTAATTTTTCTTGAAATGTAGTTGTGTATTCTTACCTAGTTGACTGGAATCTTCTTTAGTGTTCCAATGGACCCGTGTAATTGCTTATTTCTTACTGTACACTAACAGTTCACAAGCCCGTCCTCAAGAAATATTTGTGCTTGTCTTCATACACGTGGCAAAGACACTCTAAGGATGGGTTGTGTGGAACAGATGTGTCAGAGGACCACAACTTAACATTACTGATCGCTTCCTAATGGGGTGGAGAGGAGGTTTGGGGGCCAGAGTGTGCACTCTAGGACAATGTCAGATGCCTGGCAGGTTGTGGGGCTGCCAGCATGTTCTAAACTGGACGCTAGTTCTGCTTGTGCACTGCTTCCCCAATGGGCTCTCCTGACGCCCGCTGTGACGCTGGGGCGCTGAGGTGCTTGGCAGTTGCCCTTGTTGGGCACAATGCTTACCCAGTCCGTGGTGGGAACAGGAGATGCGGCAGATGTACCCCAGGCCCTCAGGAAGCTTGTAATCTGATCGGAGAGAGAAGGCCATCGTGTGCCAAAGTGGTACTGCGGTGAAGAATCCTGTCGGTGTGCCCTGAGTCCAGAGTGGGAGCAGTCGCTGGGCATTGAAGGATGTTCCCTAGAATAGGTGAGAGTTGAGCTAGCTTTGAGTAATTCATAAGCAGGCTGGTCTGTCTTCCTTGCCAGACGAAAAGCAGTGTTCGGAGTGACCCTGGCAGTGTGCACCAGCTGCCGTTTGCCACGCGTGCATGCTGAGGAGAGAGCTGAGCCGTCCTGCTAATTCACGGGGCCCTTCACCTGGTGACAGAACAAAACAGGTCCTCATAGGACCTTTACATCTTGTTTGTTCTCCTGTTTGCCTAATCCCCTTTAATCAGTGACCTCAGTTCAGGTGTTAAACCTTGGCGTCATTTGAGCAACTGATCATCACCAAACCTCTGGGTTTAGCCTGTCCCAGCCAGCCCCTCCTTTATGTTTCTGCCTTCCTTCATTTCTTCCTATTTATGTATCTTAACTCGGAGTTCATACATCTGTCCCTTTTCTGTTAATTAACTTGATTACTATCACATGATTTGACTTAAATAGGCAATCCTCTGATCAGGAACTCCCAGGGATAAAGTGCTGCCCATCAGATGAAGTGGAGGACGCCAGCTCGGCCGTCAGAGGCCTTCCATCTCCTGCCCACGGCTGCCTCTCCCACGCTTCCCTCCCTGTCTCCTCCATGTCATTTGTCACTCAGATAAAGTCGGGGCTTGTGCCCCCACCCACCTCCTTACCTCTAGCTCTGCTCTATCTGCCCCAGGAGCTGGGGCGCTCTGGCATGGTCGCAGGCCGGTCTCTGCATTCCTCCGAGTGAGTCGTTAGTGCGGCTTCTTAGAGGCCCAGCCCTCTGATGATCGCGGGGCAGGTGAAGTGCACTCAGCATTGGGTGGGGGGCGCAGCCCTGAGATTCTGGATTCCTAGCCTTGGTCATGCCCCTCACTGCATGCCAGTGGCACTGGGCTGACCGGTGTGGTCTCTTCAGAGCATCTACAAAAACTATGAAACGTGACAGCGTACCAGCGTGGCCAGCTGGAGCTCTGCCGTAAACTTAGCCCATAAGCTGCTAAGTTGATACTTAGAAAACCCATGTTTTTACCAGAACTTAACCTTTTCTGGGTTGTGCAGCCTGGAAACTCTTGCACCCTGTGCGTGTCGTGCTGGCACCAAGGGAGCAGCCCCAGCCACTCCTGGATCCCCATGCAACTGTATCTCTGTATCTGCTTCCCCCCCTAGCGAGCCTGTTCCATCTTCAGGCTGGTGGGGCGAGACTGCACTCTGTATGCCACCTTGTGTATTGGCTTTTCTGTCATGTGCCATCTCAGTGAAAACCCTACAAGATAGGTATTATTCCAGTTTTAACATCATCTTACCTTAATTCAGTCAACACATACTGTGTGCCCGCTGTGTACAGGAGCTGTTCTGACTGCTGAGGTATGTAGGGAACAAAGCCAAGTCTCTTCCTTTTTGGAGTTGGCATTGTGTGGAGGAGGCAGTCCAGAGGCACTGAGTAAAACAAAGTAGGAAAGAGCAATGGTGAGGAGGCCAGTTAAAACTGTGGTCAAGAAAAGTCCCTCTGAGCAGGTGACACGTAGTCAGGCAGCTGAATGAAGTGAGAGGTGTAGGCTTTCAGACTTGGAGGGACAGTGGCTCTGAACCGCAAAGCAGGAGCTTGGCACACCCAGGCAGGTCCCTGCCCAGATAGCAGAGAGCAAGGTAGAGGGCGAGGGGATGCAGTGAGCAGGGTGGTCAAGACTCAGGAGTGTGGCCAGAGTCACACACAGCTACATGGCTCGGAGGGGACGGGACTCTTCTTGGGAGGTGCTCAGGCCGGTGTGCACAGCATCAAACCTTCACGTGCGCTAGACATTGCTGACTTCCTGGGACAGCCTTACCAGGCCATCACGCCCCATTTCTCAGGTATGAGAAGAGGCAGTAAACAGCGTTCCACGCCACACAGCTTGATGGTGGAGCTAGCATAGGAACTTGGGCCACTGTTGCCCTGTGGGCCATATGGCCTCTTTAAACCAATTAAAGGGAGTTTACCTCGAGTGCATTTGAAGAAGCACTCGGGAAGATGGAGAGAGTGAGACTTGTCTGACTCCCCCGTCTGAAAAGTTCTTAGCTGATCTTCAAGACCAGGTTCAAATGTCACCACCTCCTAGAAGCCTTCCTGACTGCTCCAGGACTCCTTTGGAGTATTGTACTCCGGTGTACCTCTTTCTATTAAGGATAATCTTTAAAGGGGTGTAATTATTTTGGAAACCATCTTGTCCACTAGTCCACAACCCCATCTTAGGTAAAGACATGTTCTAATTAACTGTTTTCTGGCACCTAAGTGCTTAGTAACTGTTTTTAAATGAATCATTGAATCGCTGGACTGAAGTAATTCCCTATGAGCTCTTCACTGAATTGTCTGGAAGCTTTCTGTGGAGGTTTTGGGCAGGGCTTTAGAGGCTGGCCAAGAAGGGTGAGGATCTAGATAACCTTAGGCAGTTTTCAGGTCTTGATGGATCCCTCCTTGGGAAACAAAGCAATAGTCTTACATTCCAGAGGGGAAATGCCAGGCACTCATTCATATTTCATTGCAAAGTAAATGTAGTTATCAGATTATATTCAATAAGATTGTATTAGAGTTGATGTTGAATATATGGAGAGTTTAGTTTTTAAATCTAGACAGTTTCTCTAAAAATAAATGTAAGATTAACAGATTTAAAAAATAACAGCACATTGCCCTGGGCACATTGTTCTCAGGGCCTAAAGTAAATTTTCAGTGTAATGATTAAGTGTACAGGGTACTTGTGAGCTTAGAGGCGGATGCTTGTAGTGAGGTGTCAACTTGCGTGGGCCAGATCAGGCACCAGAGCTTGTGTAGGGGCAGGTTCCCCAGAGATGGCGCTGTTTCAAAGGACAGTCCGTAAATAAAGGTGAATAGCAAATGTTTCGAAGGCATAAACTCTGGATTTTTTTTGTTTGCTTGGTTTTTAATAGCCAGGCCCTTACTCAGGCAATAAGACCTTAAGTGTAGCCAGGAACACAAGATTGGCCCGATGGCGACACCACTAACGCCAGGCCCATCACTCTTGTTCTGGGTGCAGATCACACATGATGAGGCAGAGAGTGTAAGACAGCTTTCTCTTTTGTGTCTCTGTCGTGAAAAACAATGCAATGACCTTTCTCTATCAGTAGAAAGATTTACTTGGTTTGATTGCTTCTGCTGAGCCCTTTTTAATGATACTTCTTAAGTATTTATTACAGTTTTTTAAAATGTTTAACTTTGTAACAGATTCTTTTAGTTTAGTTGTTACACAGCATCATGTCCTCTTACTACTTGTAGGTTTTTCAAGTTGGTAACTAAAAATTATTCTAAATTAAAATACGTTCAATGAAATAAATGTTATTTACATTAAACTGCTTCATTATAAATTCTCCAACTAATTTATATATGCAAAAGTGGTTTATAAAGTGTAAAGATCTGTAAAATGTAAGATGGTATGTATATAGTCCATAATAATTATTGTGCTCTTTCTCTTTTTTCCCATGGTCTCTGAAATACTAGGTCTGTTACTACTTTGTTGCTGTTACTGCTCTGTAAATACAAGTGGCTAGTGCATGTGAGTG